ACGCCTTGCACAAGTCCAGGAAAATGAAATCAGTTGCTTTTCCTTTGTCAAAGCTGTAACTTTGTCACAGGAAGCCACTAAATTAGTCAGGTATGACTTGTCCTTAGTGAAGCCGTCTTGGCTGTCACCAACCACTTCATTGTTTTTCATGTGGCTTAGTACAGCTGCCAGAAGAATCTGTTCCATGATTTTACCTGGCACAGAGGTAAGGCTGACTGGTCTGTAGTTTCCCGGGTTGTCCTTGGTCCTTTTTTAAAGATGGGGGTTATGTTTGCCCCCCTTTTCCCGTCAGTAGGCACTTCATCAGACAGTCATGACCTCTGAAATACAATGGAAAGTGGCCTAGGAACTTCATCTGCCAGTTCCTTCAGGACCCATGGATGTATCTCATCGGGTCCCATGGACTTGTACACCTTCAGGTTCTCTAGGTGGTCCCGGACCTGATATGCTCTTCACTCTTCTAGACCCAGCCAATGCCCTCTGTGACTTGGGTGGTGTGGATCAAGTGGCTACCAGAGAAGACTGAAGCAAAAAACTCACTGAGTACTTCAGCCTTCTCCATGTCTTTGGTAACCAAGTCAACCATATCCCTCAGGAGAGGCCCCACATTCTCTCTAATTTTTGTTTTTTCTCTTACGTACCTGTAAAATCCTTTTCTGTTATTTCTAATATCATTGGCCAGATTTGACTCTGTCAGGGCCTTAGCTTTTCTAACCTGGTCTCTGATTACATGAGCAACTTCCTTGTAATCATCCCAAGTTACCAGTCCCTCCTTCCACACTTTGTGTGTTCCCCTTTTGTATTTGATTTTAGCCAGGAGTTCTTTGTTTATCAATATTTCTTCCTCTTAGGGATGTAGTGTCTTTGAGCTTGGAGGAGACGATCCTTGAAAGTCAACCAGCTTTCTTGAGTGTTTTGTGTCTGTGTACAGAGAGCAGTGCTTGTAAGTTTCCATGCCTTCTAGTTTATTTTTAAAATATTTTGGAAGTCTATTAACTGAATTGTGGAATAGTCACAAAATGTGCATTGGCTGGTTACAGACATGTGCAGTGACAATACAGTAACTGAATCAATACTTTGTTGTAGGAGGTTGTCTTACATGGTCATTTGCTTTTCAGACTGAGAAAGTGTGTTTGCTTCAGACATATGTGCATTGCCTTTTTCGGAATATCTCCAAGAATATATTGAGTGAAACACAGATATTAATGTCAAATACACAATTAAGATGGTGTAAAAATATAGCCCAAATGTTAATGATAACTCAGAACTACATCTGGTGAAATTCCTGAGTCTAAAAACACAGTGCAAGTGAATAATTAAAAAGAAACAAACTTTGCTTCCTTACCAAAGTTGCTTGAACAATAACTGCTTTCGAGAGTCCCGCTCCTCTTACACTTTCGCTGGCACAGGGCAACTGTAGGTTTCACGACTTTTTGAAGAATGAAAAGTAAATTGAAATTTAAATTGAAATGAGGTGTTTGATACAAATGCAAAGCAGTGTATTTAAAAAAAAAAAGATGAATAATCCTGATGCACACACTAACTAGATCTGGTATTGCAAGTGATGAACACCACAATAACAATATTCCTTTTCTCTGACATCACCTCCATCATCTTTTCATGAATGTCTCAGCTGTGAATCTGTTTTAGCAACCTTACAGAACAGGATGTTATGGAAAATTTGTATTTGATTGCAGTGTAATCTTAAGTATGTAACTAACTTGGTGTTGTTACTTGTTGCCATACAGCTCTTAGAGTATCATTATTCTACAATAAGACTTCAGAGGGAGGGGGTGGCTTTTTTTAGATCTGAAATTACTGTACTGGGATGGAAGAAATCAGAGTTCAAATTCATTATTTTTTTTCTAAATTTTTCACATAGCTTCACGACATGTAGTACTGTGTACTTTACACTGATGACAATCTGAAACCCAACATAATATTAGGGATTGACATTTCCTTTCTGAAATGGAATGCTTATTTTATAAACAAGTGAATACATTTCGGACGGTTTTGCCTCCTTGGGTGGATGTTAATACTCATTACTCAGTCAACGTGTCCGGATGCAGTATTTTTAAGGCTTTTATGTCCTTTTCACTTTTGTTTGGAATTAACCAATGACATTATAATTATTGGAAAAATGGAGCTGAGATGGATAGATAAAAAAGCCTAACCCTCTACATAACCCTAATTTCCAATAAACTAGTTACAAAGAGGTTTTTTAGTTTCTTTAGAATGGAGCCTTTTGCAGAGGTTTTATTCAGACTATGTTTTTTTAAATTTTCCAATCATTAATTTATACTTGTACTTCTTTTTATAATTTTCCAAGTTTCTGAGATTCAGCTGAATGGCATTAAAATTACTTTGTCTTCAGTGTTATGTCCTCGAATATCAGAAGATCTGCATATTCGTTGTATTCAGTGACACTCTTTAGAAAGTTAAATGCGCTCGACAAGGAAAAAGTGTTCTGAGGAGCAAGTTACTAGGTCTATGGAGGCATATCTACTCATATTCCACATGATGTAGCCTCAGTTCTACAGCCAGATGTACATGGCTGTAGGAGTGAAACTCCCACTGCCATCACTCCTACTGCCTTAACGAGTCTGCATAGTTCTTTCCTATCAGTGTGTACTTCTAAAAATATTTTTAATTATTAAGTTGAGTTGATTAGATTTCTTTGTAGACTACGATGTACAAATAATACAGCTTTTAGAACTTTAAAATAAATGATAATTTTTCAAATTATTTTTTCAAATTACAGTTAGTGCTTGTCAAGGTGCCATGCCATTTAGTTAATTTTCCTGTCTCACAGCATCAGTTGCTAGGTCAGGCAAGTACCTCCTATCTCAATGCTACATGCAGCACACCAAAACCTAAAAATGTAATGTTCCTTGAGTCTTTCAATTCAGTGTACCTAGTAGGTAGATAAGAAATATAGCAGATAGATGAGTTACAGGTGCATGCTGGTATGGTAGCTGCAAAAAAAATTATTGAGGTGCTCTGATTTTTCTAAATTTAAAACAGGGATTATGCATTACAAAATACTCTTGTTTAGTCCTCTAGTTGTTTGGGGTTTGGTTTCTTTTTCTGCTAACACTTCAAGTTTTACTTCTGAATTTAGTAATTTTGGTTGGTGACTAACTTTGCTATGATTTATCAATAATAGAGGCTGCATATTGTTTGTACAGAAATTTTGTATGTTTGTACAGGCATTTTAGCAAAATATGGATTAAATATGAATTAGCAAAGCAAAATATGAATTAAAAGTTCAGTTGCCTACCATTTTACATGTAGTCAAATGTATGTAGACAAATGTATGACCTGATCAAATGAAATAAGAAAACCAATTACTTAACCATATGTATTTATCCTCATTACTTTTATTAATGTATTGTATAGCATTTATTTATTTATTCAAGTACTAATATTTTTATGTAAGATAGAGATTGAGATAATTCTTGATAGTGCCTACTGAAGATGAATATTCCATTAATGCCTAGACTTCTGTGAAACAGGTCTGATTTGCAAGATAATAAGCTGACTCTATTTGAACTAGACACTTGTTCTGAGAAAGAACAACCTGTATAGGTTGGGGAATGACCTGCTGGAGAGCAGCATAAGGGGAGACCTGGGGGTCCTGGTGGACAGCAAGATGACCATGAGCCAGCAATGTGCCCTCGTGGCCAAGAAGGCCCATGGCATCCTGGGGTGTATTAGAAGGGGGGTGGCTAGTAGGTCGAAGAGGTCTTCCTGCCCCTCTACTCTGCCCTGGTGAGGCCACATCTGGAACATTGTGTCCAGTTCTGGGCCCCTCAGCTCAAGAGAGACACAGAACTGCTTGAGAAAGCCACAAAGATAATGAAGGGAGTGGAACATCTCCCTGATGAGGAAAGGCTGAAGGAGCTGGGTCTCTTTAGCTTGGAGAAGAGGAGGCTGAGGGGTGACCTCATTAATGTTTTTAAATAAGTAAAGGGTGAGTGTCAGGAGGACGGTGCCAGGCTCTTCTCAGTGATGTCCAATGACAGGACGAGGCGCAATGGATACGAGCTGGAACACAGGAGGTTCCACAAAAATATTAGGAAAAACTTTTTCACTGTGAGGGTGACAGAGCACTGGCACAGGCTGCCCAGGGAGGTTGTGGAGTCTCCTCTGGAGACATTAAAATCCCATCTGGACGTGTTTCTGTGTGACCTACTGTAGGTGATCCTGCTGTGGCAGGGGAGTCTTTTGAGGTGCCTTCCAACTCCTAACCTTCTGTGATTTTGTGATTCTGTGAAATGGAAATGATCAGAAATTTAACTGTAGAGGCTTCGTGTGCCTTGGTTTGTTTTGAAGATCAGAAATGCCTATACCATGCATAACTGATCAGACATTAAGAAGACTTATCTGTGCCTGACAAGTCCTTTTGAACACCTTCCCTCTGTTGTCGTCTCTCAAATGAGTTTACGCTGGTTTTATTTTCTAACACTGATGTCATAAAAACTGATTTGGAATTAGCAAAGTACACTTCTTTTGTATGTGCACATACAAAGAGCTCATAGAACAAAACTCTAAGTGGCAAAACCCTGAACACAAATGCAGTGTGAGCTATCTGACAAGCCTGGATTAGTTGAAACCAAGTGTTCGAACTAACAATTTTGTTAAGAAGTGCTTTATACTGAAGAAGAGATTAATTATTAACTATAAGAGCAGCGGTCACATCAAAATGATTTGCAGGTCATTCTGATTTCATTTTCATAATGTTTATTTTCATCTATTTTAAATACCTTTCATTATCAGTATTTAAGCACCACAGCTTCTTGGTTTCCTGCTGACAGGCTACTGCTGTCCTGACTTTTGATGTGTTTTAAGTACAAATCAGGTTATGTGTTGTAGAAACATCATAAATAATTTCGTTTGCTGCTCTAACTGTATCTTAAATCTCTCACATTCAGGTTAGAAATTGTAAGAATTATCCCTTCAATATCTCAGTAATGAGGTAGTTTTGGCAATACCTTCAGAGAAATCCTCCTCTGATCTTTCAAATATGCCATCTAGTCTTAAATATAAAAGGAAACTTATTTTTAGTGTGACATATTTCTTCATAAGCTCCAATTCCTGATTTTAAAAAAAATAAAACTAATTCTAAGAGAGTGTCATACTGACAGGATGTCGACAGAATTTGCAGAGAGCTCGGGTAGCTTCCATACCAATTCTGCTTGATCATAATAACTATATGAAGAAAAATATGGTCTGATTTTTACATATCAACTTGTATTGAGGAAAGAGTTCCTTTAAATAAACGTATTTCCTGAAATATTTAGAACTTCTTATACAAAAGAATTTTTCTCATCCATTCTTCTATGGAATTTGCTAATTAACTATAAAAAATTAAAAGAGGAAAATTTTCTCAGCTGGAGCTGAGATCTTGCCTGGATAGATTTCCTTTTAATAATGTTACGTAGATTCTCCCCTCAGTATATTAGGATACTTTATCAAGTATATTATTTTTAATTCATTATGTCAACATTTGAAATACTAAGAAACCATAAAGTTGTAATTTTTAATATACTTTCTATTAGATTTTTCCAAATCCCTCTCCTTGTACTGGAATAATTAATTTTTCTAAGAAATAAAATACAGCCAGTGAAACTTACTTGATGTAGCTGGGACTGTTGCAGTAGTAGGCGGAATTATAGTTGTGGGTAACTTTTTCGGTCTAAATTTGTAATGGCCTATAAAACCATCAGCTGTCAGGCTTAAGTCAGACAAAAACTGAATGAGCAACTCATTTCTTTCAGACAGAATAGGCCTGAAATAGAAAAACAAAATAAAATATTTCCGTTGTCAAAGCCAAAAGCAGGAATAGCATTCCTCTTACAAAAAAAAGAGGCAGCACTTCACTTTAATTATTGGTCTGAATACAGTATCTGCCCCCAGACTAACACTAAAATACATGTTTCTTTGCTGGTATATGAGACTGGTGTTTTGAGTGTGAAAGTCCTTCTGATGAATTACCTAATCCTTTGACACTTGAAGGTTATGTCAATATGAGTATCTTTAAATTCTTCTGTGTGACTTCCTTTCAGGCTTCACTTCCATGGAATGGAAGGTGTTAGATTAACACAGTGGGAAAATATGTTGAAGAAATTTGAAGAAATCCTCAGTATGTAGTGGAGGAAAATAAGCCGTTTCTGGCTTTGGATTTTTGTTTTTCTAATTTGTTTTTCTTTAATGAAAAACATTTTATGCATTTGAAAGGCCTTAAAAAATAATTCAGTGTTGAATTCTGCAATTCTTCAACAAAAACATTAGAAATAAAATGGTTTGGCTTACTACATCTGTGGGTTCAGTTTTTACCAATGTTTGTATACTCACTACTAAGGCCTTGAAGAGCTAATGGAGTTAGTTTTTTTTCAGATTTGAAATGTCGTGAACAAGCACTGGTCAGTGTACTAGTTTTCAGTTCATAATCTGCATAGTACCTTCTGTGGCATTAACTGCCTCTGGATGGGGATGTAGCGCAATGAGACTTCATTCAAGACTACTGTTAGAGAAAATGGTACGGAATGCAAGTAAGTCTATCCAAAGCAGCATTTCCCCCATTCTTTTGGGCTTTCCATAGGTCTTGTTTCAATATTCATTGATAAGCAGTAACATAAATTTTTCAAGCAAAACCACAGTTTTTGGAAAGAGGAAGAAAAATAAACATAAGGGCAAAAGAATCTTGGTGAAGAGTGAGGAAAGGAGAAAGTGGTTTTAAGACACAGTTTTGCTAAAATGAGTGTGCTGTTTCTTCCCAGCAAGTCTGACAGAGTTCATGAGCAGGAGTTCTTCAAAACACTTAATCAGGCCTTTGAAGTAAAAACTTGTCATCATCTCCAAGTTTTTTGGCAGCTATTTCAGAAACCAGTTTTCTCTGATAGCCGAGTCTGACCCTAACCCAAACCGTCTCGTTATCTGGAATTCCATAGATTTACAGCTGCTGCATAGTTGCACTGATTATGCTTTTCTTGCTGCAATACTGACACAGGCTGTGGAGGGAGGAGGACACTGATTATCGGCTGCCTGAGAGCTTTGTTCTGCTTCCTGAACATCAGAACCGCAACAACAAATCTGAAAAATCTGGCCTAGTCTGTGTATCCTGTCTTTAAAAAAAAAAATCTTTTCACTGAGAAGCAGGGGGTTTTTGAGTAATCATCTCTACTAAGAAATTGTGATTATTAAGTATACCATTCATTTATGTCCTACAGTAATTGCAGGACACTTCTAATATTCAGCAAATCTCGTCTCTAATCTATGTGGCCTGGGTCTGAGCCCAGTAATCTGCCCTTATTTGCCTGTTGCAACTCCATGCTAAAATGTCACAGAATCACAGAATGGCATAGGCTAGTCCAACCTCCCTGCCAT